CACCCCTGTTGTAACCCAGCTGCCCATGGCTCTAGCACTGGGGCAGCAACAGCAGCAGCTGGCACAAGCTGCCACATTTGAGCATCTTAGAGAGAGGTTGGAGCAAGGAGCAGGTGGAGCTGTAGCTGACAGCCCAGAGAAGAAAATGATGCGCCTCGCTGAGGAGCAGCAGCGCCTCATGCAGCAGGCACTCCAACAAAACCTCCTGGCTATGGCCTCTCACTTTACCCCCATGAACCTCAAACTTGGCAACGGTGAGTTTGCTTCTCCTTTGACCTCTGTCATGGCTGAACATCATAGCATGCTTATTCTGGAACCGACCCTTCACTGGAATTTTTGTTTTTCCTCTGTCAGAAAGCAAACACGATCTGTCGCTGAATCTCTCCACTAATGGAGCGGCCAGTATCAGCGTGTCTGTGGAGGTCAACGGCACTGTTTACTCAGGTGAGTTATGAAACCTGTAAAGGAAGCGTGTCTTCTTTGGTGCGTGACACTAATGTAGAGGAACAAGCGCACATGGTGATGAACTAAGTTAATTGATATCTACAGTGAAAGAAATAAGCAGTATGTGTACTGCACTTGTAGTACCAGTTCCACTGACCAATAACATTTCATGTCTTTGGTTGCATGAGGGTAAATGGCCTTTGTCAAGAGCAAAAGAGGGATTGTGTTTGCTGAACTGCAACACAAACGGCTATTGTTTGACTACAATTTAGCGTTTTATTTTTCTTTTAAAAATGGATCTACTTTAATAAATGAGTCACATGCAGAACAGGAAGTCTTGATCCTAGATATCAACGAACAGATTCAGATACCAACGGTAGACATTTACCAGTTAAGGCATTTTATTAAAATCATGTCAGAATTCCTAAAAACTAACTGTGTACTAGTTAACAACCCTGACTTCTATAGTCATGATATCAACATATTCCACGTCGGAAGAAATTACAAAAACAGACAAGGCAGAGACCAATTCTTTGTGAATAAAACACCTAGTTGATACAAAAACGACAGTCTTTTCATGCAGTTCAGGCTGTTTAATACTCAAAGAAAAGGCAAGGAATCCACATGCCACATCTCAGACTCTACAGGCCTCAGTTACATCATCACAGGACAATTAGAAGTCTCAACAAATATGAAGCCGTTTGTCTGTGAGCTAAAGCTTGCCTGAAAGTAGGTCATGTAACAGGACAATGACCTCAAGCACAGCAGCAAACGGCGTGGCTGAAAAACAAAAGAATCAAGGTGTCGCAATGGTCCAGTCAAAGTCCAGACCTCCACCCACTGTGGCGGGACCTTAAGAGAGCTGTGCATAAATGAATGCCTGCAATAAATAACGATGTGAGACACTTGAACTTATTACTGCTAGAGCTTGTTCTACAAGCTACCGAATCACGAGGCGGACTCTGTTTTTTAGACTCCTGTAAAAACTTTCTTTTTCAATTGCCCTTTGCACAGTGAGTTCTTTGTAACTGACAGTCATTTATGCCGTTGTCTTCTTTAGGAAAACTGTTTGCCCAGAAGTCGGCTGCTTCTGTGTCGTCACAGAACGTAACTCCAGCAGGAACAAGTGGTTTCAGCGCTTTTTCCTCCGCACAAAGTTCCACCTCCTCATCTCCCACCTCCTCAAAGGGACCAAGTTAAAATCACTGGCTTTTTAATCTGTCCGGAGCATAATGATTACACAGTGCACCACACCATTTACTTCTCTTGTCAGACAAGAACTGGATGAACTCCACGGATTCTCTGCCACAACACAGGAAACCTTCTATTACTTTAATAGTGTAATGTCAACATTTTTGACCTCTATCCTCAAGCTTATTTTAATATAGTTTCAGTTTACCTTAGTGCCTGTTAGAAGAAGACTTTTCAAACATGGTAGCTTTCTGGCATAAAGGGCTACAGGTTTGTCCAGAAGTATCGTTAATGCAAAAGAATTGCTACGGCTCTTTGAACGTCAGCTACGTTTGTAGGTGTAAAAGCCGTTCCGTAGCTGCCTTTTCCATCAGTACAACAATGTGGTTGCCAAAGAGCAGCTAGTGAAGACCAAAAAGCCTTAGTTCAGTGTCATAGCTACTTGAAGCCATTTTGTATTCCTCTTGGTAAGCTTTCAGTTTACCTTGAGCAAAAGTTTTTACTTTGAGTAACTGCTTTCATGGAAAATGTAGAACATCAGTTTCCACAGAAATATCGCAACTCCTAAAGAATCAAAGTGAATTTCAGGGGAGATGTTTATTCAGTTTTGCTTTATTGTTATTTATTCATTTGGCGAGGCCTCAAAATGACAGAACATTTATTTCAAGTAACTCGGAGGCGATGTTTCTGCTGGGTGTTGTATGCAGAAAGTGACACATTTACCTCAGTTGACTTCCCATGGTGGCAAGTTTCTCAGGCTACTTTCTTCTGGACTCAGGAATATCCTCTGGACTCACTGTTATCTTATATGTATGTCTTGTCATATTGCTGTTTTATATTAGTGTAAATGCAGAGACTGTATCATTAATGACCTCAACGTGAACACTGAAACGGTGCTACCTCAGTCCTCAGAGAAATATGCAGTGCTTAATGCCGCATGTGTTCATTTGTTGAAATAAACTGTAAATGGACAATCACGTACACACATGATCACAAACAAATGCCACTGGGAATTTTTTTTTTTTTTTTTTTTTAAAGGTTGGCTTTCAGCTCTGTTGGATTAACATGTTTCCTGTAAATGTAGGGATGAGGAATAAAATGAATCTTGTGTGCTGTAAAAATACCGTTTTCTTTCTTTGCACTTCGAATATGTCTTCAGACTTTTGACACAGAGGCTAGTCTCTGATTGCAGATAGCATGTAGTTTTGTAAATGTTTGAAAATAAATGTTGATCACAATGCATTTCAAGTTTTAAAAGAAAAAACTGACTTTTCACTGAGTTTCAGCTCATCTTGTAGCTTTCAGACCCCACTTATTTTAGTTCTCATCACTCTCATATAGTTTGTTTTTTGTTTGGGTTTTTTTGCACAACAGACAGCTAATCCGTCTCTCTAAAAGCTCTTAAAATCTGCAGCACACTACCTGCTCACCAGCACACAGCAGGCAGATGTGAGTAGCCGATGAGAACAGTGGAGCAATTACCAGCTTAAGAGTGCGACGTATCCTCGATGGAAGCCAAAAACAGAAACACAAACTAAAAATAATGTTGCTTTGTAATTGTTGGACGTGCAAACAATCTGTCTGCTAACAGCTTCACTATATCAACTTAATATTAATAATATAAATAAAACTTAATATTGCTCATTGTACACACCTAAACGGTGAGTTGTTATTGTTTAGTGGGAACACATATGTAGACTTATTGTTATTGTTATTATTCTATAGCTTTACATGATTCAAAATTCAAAATACAGTAATCCTTATTTTTCTTATCCAGGTTGTCATAGCTCCCCTCCCCTTGAAGGCCAATGTTCCTCTTAAGTTAGGTTGGGACCCTTATATGGGAGCTCTATGACCCTCTGTTATAAGGTCTTTACTGTAAAATCAAAAGCGCCTTGAGACAGCTGTTGTTGTAATTTTGCACGATATAAATAGAATTGAATGAACAAGCACTTTGTGGTGGTTGGAAAGAAAAATTCTCTTTTACTAAGAAGAAACCTCAAGTAGAACCAGGCTCAGGGAGGGGCAGCCTGCAGATGGCTGGCATATAATCAGTTTACAAATTATGTTGAAAAGATATATAATGTAACCACTGCACACTGTCCCACTTACCATAATTTGTTATTCAGTTTCGGTCTGTGTGACCTTTGTCAGCTACAAAGGAGCAGTGTTCATGCACATTTGCACAGATATACACACTGAATAAGATTCAGCCAATTAGGGATTCCTCCTCTCACATGTGCATACTATCGATCAGGTAATGAGTCCACTGGAAACATCCATGCCATCATCAGAAAGCCAAACAACATTTAACATCGCCAGCTGATCTGAAAAAAGACCCTTGTATGTTAGAATCGGCGATGGCGTGCCGTGCACAGGGGCCAGTTTTGTACTTTTACCCTGGATATCTCAACTGGCTCATTATAATTGTGCGATACAGCTGCCTTTATTTAATTAAAATAGCTGAACAGCAGCTCCTTTCCATCACTGGAAAGTTGGATCCAAAAATTCAAGAATAAGTTCTCGATTGGCCAGATGGGGGTAGTATTTCCTCGCCTACACATGACACACATACACTAATCCATGTTCAGGGGTGTTGTGAACAAGCAAAGATGCACATCTGTCAGTATGCCAAGCTGTTTCTGATGTCTTTAACTTGGAACCCGAACTGTGTAGCAAGAGGGGGAAAAAACAAATGTAAGTGTAAATTTAATTACTTTTTTCAGTCCCTGCAGTTTGGCTTCTGTCATAGAGACATAAAGAAAAAAAACTTCTAAGCTTACTGTGATGTGTAAAAGTCTACACATCACGTTTTTGAATATGGAAAAGAATCTACAGAGTGAGCTTTACTTGCTTAACTCTGTAGCAGACCTATCATGACAGTAATAAATAAAAAATAATTAAAAAAAACAAATTCATGGGTCAAAGGAGCGTGGTGGTGGTGGTGTGTGTGTGTGTGTGTGTGTGTGTGTGTGTGTGTGTTGGGGGGAGGGTTACAGGATTTACTGGTTAGGATAGTTATGCTATAGTGAAAATGCTGGATTTACATCTGGAACACTGAAGAGGAAAGATGCTGCGGAGGCATTATGACGGCTCTCTCCGCCCACGGTCCCCGCCCACCAGGCAGGAATAATAGTGTGTAAGTCACTTTGCAAATGAGGTTATCACTATCCAGGGATGCAGGCTGGAATATACGGTATGCAGAGAGTTTGGACAGAAGGATGATTTTCTGACTCCCAACCGAGAAATAGATCTACAGGTGGAGAGAAGAAACTTTAAATTAAACCAGTTATTAATTTTTTTAAATTTACAGTAATGTTTTTATGAAGGCAAGTGCAAATGTTTTTGTGCCTTTTTTCCCTTTACTTGATAGTCTAAAATAACGTTGTTTGGCTTTGTTTTGGACTAAAAATCTAAATGTGTTTTCATCAGTCGAGCAAACGATCTTCTTTACTTGGACATTTGGGCTTCTGCTTGTGGATTTCTTAGTAGGCTCTACTGCTGGCACCATGCCTTATCATGATGAGGAGTACCCCGGTCAGCCTCTGTGGCAGTCTGTGCTGCTTTTCTGCTGCAAGGGCATGATCGAGGGCATCATGGTCATTCTGTTCTTCTGGCTTCTGGTTCAGGTCCTGTTCACCAAACAGTTAGAAGGTACGGTATCCGAGTACAAAACAATAACCACATCGCCACATGCTATTACCATATACGTGCTGATGAAAGAGCTCCCTGGTCCATAACGGATGTGATTCTGTTGTTTTCATAGATAAAGCAAAGCTAGAATAACATCAAATGTTTCTTTCCAGTGTTTGTGTTTTTGGTACATTTTGTGTTGCTAAATCTCTTTGATAATTACATCATTTTTACTCATTTAGAAACCTACTTTAGTGATGCATATCTCCACAAATTAAGGGCTGTAAACTTGGCTACCCAATCATATTAGGAATGGCATATTTATTAATATATTGTTCAGTTTTTATGTGTATATTTTAAGAAAGCTCTGACAAAATTTGAACCAGTCATTTAGTAATATGCTAATATTTTCCAGCACATGGCCCAAAATACTACATTAACTGCATTATGTAATCCCAGAGTTGACTGAGATGAATTACTTCTGCCACCTGACCTTATTATCCCTTGTTGCTTCTACAGTTCATCTCCAGATTCTTCTTCTGGTTGGGCTGATCACCTTTTGTCTGTGTTTGGTCCTGGGATGCCTTCTGTGCTTGTGGAAAAGTAAAGTTTCTCGAGTGAAAGACAAAGCTCCTGCGACATCAGCACCAGCTCCTGCTGAACCTGTGTCCTTTGCTCAGACCTCACCTTCTCCCTCAGCAGCAGCAACAGCATCAGCACCCAAGCAGCAGTTTGATGAGCTGGATGAAGAAGTGCTGGAGTACCCGTCCACTTTTAGCAGCGCTGCTACTTCAGAGGGTGAATTTGGCTCTCTGGCATTTTCAAATCAAACTTCCTGTGAACAAAAGGAGCCTCCAAAGTCTTATTTTTCCCTGCGCCGCCTCAGCACACCTCTGCTTTCATCACCCCTTTATAAACCATTAGACCAGAGTCATAGCTCGCTGCCTTCCTTTCCCAAACTGGGACTACTGGCCAAAACACGTAAGGCCCTGCAGCGACGCTGCACTGTAACTGGGGAAGACATATCTTATAATGAGCACACTAGACTCACCAGACCCAGTGCTGGCTCTCCTTCTACAAAAGAAAAACCTATCCCATTGGCCCCACTAAGCTATGGCTCCAGTGCAAGCTGCCAACATCCAATATCACCAAAACCCTGCCTCCACTTCACTATGGCCTTCTCTCCAGGGCAGCAAACCCTGACAGTCACTGTCCTCAGCCTCAGTGGGATGCCTCACAGGCTGGAAGATGTGTCTGTGCAGGGCAGCCTACCACCTCTCTGCCCCTTTCCTATGAAAGCCGCTGTGCAGAGCAGCTCCAGCTCTGAAGCCCACAGCCTGGTGCTAATTTTTAAGGTGAGCTCTGTGGAGGAGCTCCAAAGGTGTGTACTGAAGGTAGCTGTGAATGCACGAGAACCAGCGAGCCCCAGACGCAGTTCTCTGGGTGAACTGGAAGCCGAGTGTGCAGGAAGAGACTGGACACCACAGACGCCACTTCACTTAACAAAAGAACTCAATCGAAGCAAGTAGAAAATAAAAAAGGTAGCGAAGGTTATACACCTGTGAGTGGTTTAAATGTCCGTACTTGGAGGTAAAAGCAACTTGAATGATTGATTAGGAACCTTTCGGGTACAAATTTTAGACCTCTGAACTTAAATCCTGGAACAATAACAAGATGGAAGAAAATGTAAACAAATTTCCAGATTTTTTTCTGTAGTTTTATTTATTCATTGCTGTGTATGACAGAGCTAAATGTTCAAGTTGCAATTCCTGCCAATTAGGAATGCCCTCTTTGCTCTTTGAACTTTTGCCCTTTGATTGCAGAGTCTGACCTCTCAGGATGCACTGATGTGTAAGGGGCTTAGCTGTCCTCCACAGATCTTCATTTTGCTTCATTATCAGACTGTCGCACTCTGTTAAAGTCACGGTCCTCAGAGCTGATAATCTAGACAGCCTTGTTTCTACATCAGTGGCAGCAGGTAAAACCAGAGTTTGGTGTCACTTAAACTCGACAAAATGCGTATGTGATTTCAGAATGCTATAAGGGCATAATAGACAGATGTAT